ATCTTGATTGACACACACCTTTATATTTACATGCCACAATAATGTCACAGGCCCTCTCAGGTGTTACCCTGAGGTGACAAAACGTGCTTTCAACAGGCCTATGGTCATTTCCACCCGGCCTCTTGTTCTGCAGTGTGCCACATTAAAGCGTTGCTGGGGGCCTTAACAATTTAGACTGTATGAAAGCTACATTGGTGTGATCCCTATACCCCATCTTATGCACAATTCTTATCGCTCATTTTTGTAATATATACAATGGTTGAAGTGAGCTTCTGTATGTATTTCCCCAGTTTTAAACGCCATACTCTAAGTATGGTAGAATCAATGAGGAATACAAAATGTGTAATGCTTTCCCATCCAAAATATATTTCACCCATGCCAATATCGATATATTTTTTGCTATTTTGTGCTGAACATATCTGACATGAGATTTCCAGGAAAATTTGTCATCAACTATGACACCTAGAAATTTAATTTCATGTACTCGTTCTATTTTAGCTCCCCAATATTCAATTGAAATTCATTGTCTAATCTGCGATTCCCAAATACCATGAATTTAGTTTTATCCAAATTCAGAGATACTATATTACTATCACACCATTTCTTTATTTTCTCAAGTTCCTGTGTAAGGGCCTCAAGCAAACATTTACTCTTCAGAGTACGCACACGTTTCCTGCCTTGTACTGTATGCACCCACTGCCCCACCCCTGCACCCTCTGAGAACAGAGTTCTCCCCAAAATTGTTAACACATACCTCCCCCTCCTCCAAACCAGTGCTTGGGATTTCCCAGTTAAAGGCTACAGTACGTATAAAGGCTTTCCCAACAGTTCCTCTCTTTAAAAAAAAGCTCTATACTCTCCCTCTTTCTCACACATACACACACTCTACCACCACCAGTGGTCTAAACTGGGCTATTAGCATGGTTTTTGTGGGTGCCTACTGAAGCTGGCTGGCCAGCCAATGGACTGAAATGAAAAATTAACAGTGTGATGTTTTATTCACAATGCTTATACTGTAGATGGAAAAATGGAAATGTAGCTGGACACTAATGATGACTAATACAGTATAACCTCACACTTTATTTAACACCATCTTAGCCTTGCATAGGCCAAACAGTTTGCTGAGAGCCCTGAAAAACATCAGCAAGAATCAACCAAACACAGTAGCTGGAAGAGGAATCAACGAACCACTAAGGGTGGTTTAAACGGCATTTTAACTTGCCACCTCTCAAACCTCTTGAACCATGAGCACACTTATTTAAACTAGACACTGTAAACAGTACATAGTGAAGCCTGAGTGTGATTGCACTTATTTCTGGTCTGAAACATGCTCAGAAACGGATTCTGCCAGATAATTGAGAAGAACTTTGAACAGCTGTTTTAACATTTTATTGCTAAAACTGGAAGTAGACTGCAATGGTGTGCATTCACCCAAACAAGTTCCTGCTGCCTTCTCTGATTTATTATGGCAAGGAAATGTTGCAGACATAACATATTTATACCCGATACAGATTTCAGAGGGAGGAATGAACCACAACATTTCTGTAACTGAGAGGAAATATTACAGTTTGACCAAAGGTGCACTGCAACAAATATGGAGCTCTTGCCAGTGATCAACACTGTTAAGATTTCCCTGCTGCCGTAGCTGCAGCTGCACTGCAGATTACACACTGGGGCTCCTTTAATTTAATTTTTCATTTGTTTTAAGAATTTTGCACTGGCAAGAAAAATGCCTTCATCACCCACATCCTGCTCAGGATGCGAATGAATAGTTTATCACCTTACTTCTGGCAAACACATATTTACACAACTGACGGGGATCGCACAACTGTACTCTTTTTTAATTTATTTATTTAATCAAAGTTTGGCATCTGTTGTGCTAAATGGCTTCAGGACAAAATCACTCACTGGCATTCAGTAGTTTAAATATAATATATATTTAACTGACTTGCTTTTCATTAGTGAGGTGTTACAGCAATGGACACACAGTAAGTATGTGTGTCTGTTTGCCATACTGTACTATATGTCTGCTGGCACTAATGAAATAGGACTTTACCTTGGAAGATAAGTAATAAATAGTAGATTGATCACGGTGCATTTGGACACACAGTCAATGAATATATATAGTTAGAGTAATTGTATACTGACAAATTGTGAGCATTATTTTTCATTAAAAAGTGTATAGTTTTTTAGTCATTTATAATAATATTTTATAATTCACTAAAATGTCTTTATTTTAAAATGTCCAGCTCTTTCCTTCTCCTCACTCAGTTCAGCGCTCCCTCCACTAGCAATCTCTTTTCCATACTGAATCCATTTAGTCGCATGTAGTTATGGCATCAGTGAGAATATAAGAAAAAAAATCAAATACCAAGAGAAATCATGATTAAACATTGCAGTGATCTTCTAAAAGCCTTGAAAAGGTGAAAAGTGTTAATAACATATTAACTCCACTTTAAAATCTAGCTAGCAGTGTCCTCTACTGAATGTCCTCTGACAGTGCATCTAAAATGGCAGTTTCATGTCATATTTATTATAAATTGTCTAGTACTGCAGATTTATACTTTGGTAATATATGACCTGCATCTTGGACATCTTGGATTTCCAACATAATCAAAAAGACCTTTCTGGCAAGTCTATAAGACGTTTTGTATTTAAACTGAACTCTCTTTTTTCTTTTCCATAACCTGAATTAACAAGATGCTTACAGATTAATATCATATATATTCATCCATTATTTATATCTTATTATTTATTCCTGAATAGAGTCATGTGGGTACTGGAGCCAATCCCAGCTGACACTGGGCGAGAGGCAGGGTACACCCTGGACAGGTCGCCAGTCTATCATAGGGCTGACATGTAGACAAACAACCACACACACTCACACTCACTCCTACAGGCAATTTAGAGTTGGCAATCAACCTAAGTCTTTGGACTGTGGGAGGAAGCCGGAGAGAACCCACGCAGGCACAGGGAGTACATGCAAACTCCACACAGAAAGGCAGCAGGTTGGCCCGGAACCTTCTTGGTGTGAGGCAACAGCGCTAACCATTGTGCCGCCATATATCATTCATTCAGCCTTTATTTATACAGGGTGATCCAGTGAGAGCAGGTCACTCCCTTTGCATAAGAGCTAAGAAAATAAAGATATAAAATAACAATCAAATTATTATGAGATGTGTTGGATATCATCTTTTTTCACAAAATTTTAGTGATCCTATAGACATTTAATAGGCTCCTTGCTTTCTGCCTCATGTCTGCTTTGATATTACCATGAGGATCCACCCAAGTAGGTTTTCAAATGGCTTTAGAAATCCACAAGATGGCAGCATAGCCAACAATTTAAAAAGGACACTAGCACCATTGTACTAGCTCACGCATGCAATACTCTGCATGTGGGCCTTTCGGGCACATTACATTACTTCATGGTCTCATAAGATCAAACGTATTTTAATTGCACTGGACATTTTTAATATTTTGAAATATTTATATATAAATTCAAAAAACTGAAACTTTCCACTTTTAAAAGTTACTTCAATTTTTAAATTGTTTTAATCGGCAAAGGAATATTTCTGATCAGTCTGTGATTGTTCTATATCACAGCAGCAACAATTCATTTTAGCCCACTGATTTGGGACAGATGTTCAAACACATAGTTTTCTGGGTGGAGGTAAAGGATGACTGACACACAGAGTGAAGCGAATACAAGCTGCATGTGTGATGTCCATTTAGGGTCACTACCTAAACCCGAAGAGCAGCCTCGAGATGTCTGGCATACCACGCAATATGATAACCATGTGCTCAACACGAACTGTCAGAAAAGGAATAAGAGAGAGCAAGAGAAGGAGGGAGCCCGGGTGGGGGTAGATAAGTTGAGAAGAAACAGTCTCTACAAGTGCATTCATCTAAATATGTGACAGCCAGGAATGTGAAACGTCTTGGCACTTTAATGGATGTGACCATCACTGTGTCCTCTGAGCCTGGGAGCCACATGTTGACTATTCTACTGCCGGTACCAAACAGTAAACACTAGAGAAAAACAACAGTACTAACACATCACATTAATTTAAATCATTCTTTTTTGCCTTTCCAACTCATATGATTACTTTTATCTTACTGCCTGTTCTGAACATTTTCAACTGATTGTTTCATTGCTTAGAAATAAAAAGAATGTGTGATTAAAATATGCCTGGATGATGGACCAGATTATAGTTCTGAGGCTATTTACATTAGCGATAAACTAGTAGAGTCTGTAGAGAGTGAGATGTGGAAGTGAGTAGGAAAAGCAGTTTTCAAGAAAATCAGGACAGGAAAGAATGAAGAAGAAAGGAAGGAAAGGGAATGGCATATAAACTGTCATGGTTTTCCAGACTGTTTCCCCAACAGCTCCAACTGATTTTGATGTAGACGTGGAGGATCCCATGCACTGTTAGATAATGTCTGTCCATGATGACAAGTCCTAATTTTGCAAACAAGTTGCGTTTCATGATCCCGAACATGAGTCTTCTTGGTGTCCTGACTGTGAGGCTTCTTTTATATGAGGAGTATCATTCAGTTTATTCCATTTACCCATTTTCTTTAAGTGTTATCCAGTTTATTTCTAGGACTTCAGGAAGGTATCTTTTTGTGTGTGTCTTTCACAGTCAATGAGATTTCTGAGTATCATATCTGCCTCTTTAAATGAATCCCCCCTTAGTCTCAAAGGGAAAATGTTGTTCGCAAGGTAGCAGTCGAAGTGAGGCAGGTCGGCCACTCCTTTCATTATAGAGTAACTCCCCTAAGGCTGTCTGTCTCTCTGCTGTCTCTTTGGCATCCTCTACTCTCTCATTTCAGCTAGCTCACCATTCTTACCTTCCATCCTTGCCATACTTGACAGCAAACATCACATTTATACATAAAAATACACAAGTAACAACTGTCTCTTTTTCTCTAGTTCCCTGTCTTTCTTGGTTTCTCTCTCTCTCTCTCTCTCTCTCTCTCTCACACACACACACACACACACACAAACATGCTTACACGCATCCCCTACTGCTGGCAGACCAGGGCAATGCAGGAGCGGCAGCAGCAGCTGCTCTGACACATCCTGGCGTGACAAACACACACCGAAAAGGCAGGAGGAAAGGAGGAGGAAGAGGAGAAGATAAGAAGGAGGGGAGGGAGGAGGAGAGGAGGAAGAGAGACAGGGAAGGACAACTCTGTGAAAAGGACACCAGAGGACAGGAGAAGAGGAAGATGAGGAAGAGGAGCATGGAAGGAGAGCAGAGGAGACAGGGTGTTGCAGCCATGTCAGACACACCTTTGCAGAGGAACGGCACAGCGACCGCACCGTAAGCAGATGTTCTTTGTTGTTATTTTTTTATTTCTATCTGCCTCTTTCCTTTGAGCTCTTCTCCCCTTGGCTGCATCCTTCCACCTGTCTCCTCTCCATCTGACAGGCTGGGTTGTCATGGGAACGGGAGCTCCGTCATGGCGAGGCCACTGCTCAGTCATGACTGGAGAGGGGACACGCGGTACACCGCGTACACTCCTCCCTCTCCTGTCTCTGTCTCTTTTCTTCACTCAGCCCCACACTCCCTCTGTAAGCCTCTCTACTGCACTCCAATCCTCCATGTCTTCACTCACTTTCTACATTTTCCCTTTTCTGTTTATCACTGTCTTCCTTTTTTTAATCAGTTCTGCACTCCTTCTCACTCATTTTTCTATCCTGTTTTCGTTCTTAGCACATACACGGGGTGTGAAGCTGCATATATATCTGTGTGTGTGTAAAATGTGCCATGTTTCAGCACAGACAGTGAGAAGGCTGCAGGCTTGATCCATCCTCTGTGTGTTAGCACAGTCCACCATGCTGCAGACCCCTTCTTTCTGTGTCTGATTTGTCTGTCTATTTATATATATACTGTAGGTGTGTGCATGTTGTTGTGTCTTCATATGGAAATAAAAAGTCATTTATTTATTTAGTTATTTATTCATTTATGTTTTTTTTCATCAGCAACAAATAATGTTTATTCGTCACATTTATAAATCACAGCAAAACAAATGTAAAGAAAACTCAGCAAACTCTGCAATCTGTTATATAAGCAGTAGCATGCATGCATGCTCTATATCTGCAAAAATAAGATGTTCTATGTTCTGTCCATGTTACATGCCTCTTACACAAATAGGTATTTATCAGGAAAGCTAGCTGTATGAGATTTAGGGTTCAGTTACTTGTTCTTCAGTCCTTGGACGTACTCTTGCTTGCTGTCCCCTGCTGTACAGTATTAGCATTTTGCTTCCAATGACAAATTCACCAGGAGCACCTTGCTATTGTTTGATCTGAACTTTATTGTGCTGAAATTCTGAGCTCCCTCAGCTGTGCAGTAGCCATACCAACTTCTACACCAACTGTGGCTTCAGAATACAATACAGTACTCTTACAAAGCTCTGAACTCACTCCCTCTGTTCTTACTACAGTATCACTAGTCACATTAATCACAGGTTTTAAAAGTCTCTATTGTCTCACTGAGACTTTCCAACACTCAGATTTTACTATATTGTCCTTATTCATATGATAATCACACAGCCTGTACAGCTTTTGTTTCAAAATTTAAAGTCTAAAAGCCCTGTAGATGTTGCAGATTAGCTGGTTTGGCTGTTAACCAGTGGGGTGTAGTTTACCTTCAAGCTGAGAGTTTTGTTCAGCTATTGACAAAAAGTTTGAGTGACAGGGTGCAGTGATTTCTGCATCCTCTGTCAGAAATGAGAGTTTTGTTCAGCTATTGACAAGCAGTTTGAGTGACAGGGCGCAGTGATTTCTGCATCCTCTGTCAGAACTGAACCCATGAGGCAGACAGAGAAGGTGTAGGGAGGCATGAAGCAGACATGTAGCTCATGCACCAACAGCTGATGTTATAACTGAGGAAATCAGAGACTCTGTTGGCCTGTCTATGATATCATATTTTTCCTTTGTGCTATCTATTTCCCTCTGTGCTGTGGACTAATTTTAATCCCAGTGTACACTGTATTGTCTCTGGATTGTCCACTGATTCAGCAGAAAGACAAGGTAGGATTTGTGGTCATGTAGAGTGCAGACACCACAATGGCAGATGGCCCAGTCTCTGGTGCTATTTATTACTCACTGGGAAATCTTAAAGAAAATATGTGATGAATTAAATACATGCAATCTCACAAGGTGGAAACTCAGCAAGACTCAAATAATATCTAATCAGCAAAGTAATCAATAATGAAGCCCTATAGATGAAAGTTTGTGTTTATTTGTAGAGCACAATTTATGCAATAGAACATGTTGTACAAAGTGATACAGCAATGCAAGTGTTAAAATATGAACACCTACTTTGCAGTAAAATAAAACTCACTCGAAGTGACTTTGCATGGCTATAGCAGACCAAATTACTGAAACACATTCATATCACAAAAATAAATAAGAATAAATTAAATACTAAAATCTGTTTAGCTGCCAAAAATGACTGATGTCCAAAAGTTCAACCTTTCTCCCACAGAATGTGCTTTTAAAAATAATAAGTAGTTACATAAACCAAACAAACAAACAAAAAACAACTACTCACTAAGTTGTGACAAGGACTGCAGTATGCAGGGAATTGCTTGTTCTAAACTGAAGGGAACCAGGTGCTGAAATTATGTGGTAGATTTTTTATTTTATTTTTTTACATATGCTTTTATTGTGTTTAGTTAACCAGTGTGTGCAGACAGACAGACAATGCGACTCAAAGTCTCAGCTTGACGTCCATTAGTGATGTATAAAATATGAATGAGATTAAAGTCTGGCAGTCCCATAGCCAAAAATATTTCTGTTAAGGATGCTGCCCCCTTCTTTTTCTCTCACTCTCTCCCTCAGTAACAATAACTCAGTCTGCAGCAGAGGCCAGTCCACCAGATGTGTGGCTTTATCTCTGTGTTTCAGTTATTTTGAGGAGAAATGAAATGTGGAGCTCAGGAAAAATAGACAAAAGAGATGATGATTGCATTAACATAACATAACACACACATACTTTTTTCTGACTTACTTTTTTTGTCGATATTTGCTCATTCTCACTGCCTCCTACTCACTCTTTACATGCTGTTATATTTGTGTGAGTGTGTGTTTTCCTGCCTCTGGTTCCACATCTGGAGGCCATTACCTCTGGGCTGGGACGTGGGGGAGGTGGGGCTGGGCTGGCTGTGCAGTGAGGTCATTGCGTCATTGTGGCGATGCAGAGGAACAATGATGCTGTTGTCTCCAACGACAACCAACCAGCATAGCTGACGCCAGAATTAAGGGGCAAAGGGGGTTTGGAGGCAGCATTTATAGTGGATGAGGACAGAAGGAGGAGATAAGAAGTGTTTTTTTATTTAACTTTTAAAATGTAGAATAACATTAAAGTAAGGAAGTACAACTTTGTAATGACAGTGCGAGCAGCCAACATAATGATGAGATTGGTATAATTCCAGGTAAAACAGAGACTCTCAGAAAGGCCAGGTCTACAGTAAGTCTTCAACTGGCTCCAAATACAGACAGCTGTAGAACTGAAGCTGGTTTCATAAATAATATTTAAGAGATTTAAGATTCCAGACAGGTCATGGTTTATACCCTGAATGTTCCAGCATAAAAAACTGTAGCAGCAAGTTTTAATGAGGACAGGAGAATGTTGTTTATACCTCAAGTAAAGTATGTTAAAACAATGCTGTAGGTTAGGCAAAACATTCGATAAGATTTATTTTTAGTTGAGAAAAATACATTCCAGCTCATCATCGTGCACTAGTACTACCACCAATGCACCAAAAGTAAAAACTAATTACAAATACAAACATTCCCAAAGGAAATATTTGAAAAAGTCATATCAAATTTTACCCAGTATGAACTGTTTATTTTGGCCATTTCAGGAGAGCACAACGAGCAGTAAACAAAACTAAAAGGGAAAAAGACATTTTTACTACCATTGTTGTGCAACAGAACGCTGCCAAACTCTAGAGAAGTGGAGCAGATAGAAATCTCAGCACTCCTGAACTGATGACTCTGCAAGAGACTTGTCTCTGTCCATTAGACTTGTAAACAAAATAATAGCACATTCAAGCGACTAAATATGAGTGACTTGACTTTTAAGAGTGCCGTAATGCTGCCAAACATTGAACTACCAGAAAACTTTAAATGTTTAAATATGGAAGCTATAGCCGTGAGCTACACATAACTCATTTTTGATTTGCTGAAGTTGCAGCTGCCCAGTGGCGTTACAGAACAGATACTCTCCAGCTGCAGTTATTTATCGGACACTTTTTTCCCCTCTTAGGGTAATGCAGTGGCTGCTGTGTCAGTGTGTGTGTGTGTGTGTGTGTGTGTGTGCTACATCCTTCTGTATTCCCCAATGAGTCAACTAGGAGCTCTGCTGCTCTTTCTCCTTAAAAGGACCTTTACTTGTTGAATGAGGGATTGAAAAAAGAGAAAAAGGAATACAAGATGGATCGAGGCAGTGTAGCAAAAGAAAACGTTAGGTTATTAAAAAATAGACAAAGCAGATCAAGGCCACTTATATAGATAATATAAAAGTTTAGTTATACTTGCAGCAAGGGAGGATTCAATACACACAATATGGTTGCATGAAGAAAATGCTCAGAGAGGTGATCTCTCTGAGGGTCATTTATACATTCAGACCTAACAGTTGTGGTGTTGTAAAATGGGGTGTAATCACAAACATTTCTACACATCTGCAGTCTGACTGCTCATGAGAACAGCATCAGATAAATGCATTCAGTAGTGAACACATGGTATCTATTCTAATACTACTGTTCTACCCAGTACGCGTACAAGGCGTATAATAATTATACTATGGGTCTCTAGGTGTTACTGCCCCTTAGTAAACATATTTGCAATCATTTTTCCAAGAGAAAGTTTGATAAAGAAACTGATAGATGCAGGCAGGTGTGAGATGAAGAGGAACAGAGAAGGAAAGGATGAGAGGAGAACTATGAAAAGATGGAGATTAAAAGGAAAAGAAGGAATGAGGAGGGTCAGGAAGGAGACAAGGAGGGATAAAAGAGAAAGGAATGGAGAAAGATAACATTTGGGGAGTGAGAATTGAAAAGGATAGAAGATGGAAGAAGAGCAATGAAGGGTAGAGATGTGCCACGGCAATGAAGGAGAGCAACAGTAGTGGGGAAAAGAAGAAGAAAGAAAGGGATGAGGAGAGGAGAAAATATTGGATACAGGAAAGGAAGTGCAGCAGAAGAGACAAGGGACAAGAGGAGGAAACGAGGAAGGGATGTAGGACAATAGCGAAAGAAAAAAGTGAAAGAGAAAAGGAAAGTAAGTAAAGTTTAAAGAGTTTGGAAAGAGAAGAAGAATTGATAAAGTGAAGCTAGAGAGTTAAAAAAAGAGAAAAGAAAATTAGGACACAGGTAACAGTGACCCATTTACACCCACATACACACTGTGTGTGTGTGTGTGTGTGTGTGTGTGTGTGTTGTGATCTTCTTAAAAGGTACGTTTGTATTTCCAAAGATGTTCATCTGCATATGTCAGTTTATGCAGTGGCTTTCTCATCTTCATGTTTTCTTGTCCTTTTTCTGTCCTGTTCTTGCTTTTCTAAGTAGGAGGTTTCTATAGTGACCAGAAATAGAAACTGAAGAGTCAGCTACTAGTAATGTTTGTGTGTAGGCAACATCTCTGCCTTTAGTCTCAGAATTTTACTAAAAGATCACAATTCACTATCGTTAAATGCTATTAACATACTCTGTTTCTCAAAGTGTTACTAATGCTCTGTGTGACACTTTGTGTTTTAAATGTGAGAGAAACATACTGCATCAGTGCAACAGCACATAGTAACAGCAAATGACTCTAATAGCAGCAGCAAATCTGTGGATTCCTGTCATCACATATGGGTGAAGGCCTGGGTGCTGGGAGGTGTGTCATGTCATAATGCAGTGGAATCATTTGGCCAAGGTGTAGGCAGTTAGTAGCAGCCAGATGTTCTGTCACACGGTAAGATGGGCTGACACTCCTACCTTTGTCTCAGTTACAGTGAAGAATGCAATTTTTATGTTATTTGTGTCCAACACTTCAGTATTAAGTGTTTTTGAGTTTATACTATAATGTTTTAGAGTGTCAGCTTGTGTATTAGTCTCTTGAAAGACATTTATTGCATTTTTACCTTCCATGTAAATGCTCTTTTTTTAGTAGACGGCTGCTTCAGAACTGAGCAGTGAGTTTTAATAACAGGATGATTCAGTGTGTCTACACCTCTTCTGATTTATCACAGTAATAGGTAGGCCTCCATCCAAGTCACAGCTAAGATGAAGAAAGTCACTGGACAGAAGATAAAGGGTGAAATCAATGCAAAACAAATAATCCTCAAATTGTTGATGTTCCATTTCCAGTTGTCTCATCTGTTTTCAGCAACCCTCAGCTTTCAAATATGACAAATTACTCTTCTGCAATTTCATTTTGTTTTTCCTCTTTCTTTCCCTCATTCCTTTTTCTGTGATTGTCTCTCTCCTCACAACTGCCTCCATGCCGTAGCTCCTCTATTTGTCCCCTTCCTTTTCTCTCTCTCTCTTTCACTCTCTCTTTCATCTGCTCCTCCCAGCTGTTTAATCACACATAGCTCATACCTAAAAAAGAGAGGGAGGGAGGGGACAAATGGGAGGGGATACAGAGAGCGCAAAAGAAAGAGTGGGAGGTAGAGATAGAGAAGAGAAAATGCGAGCAGCTGGCTGAGTGTGAGGCACATGGCCAGTGAATGAGAGAGCTTTGCTTTCCCCCAGTGCGAGCGCCTTCTACCACTGTCTCCACTCTCTAGTTGGATTACTGCTGAGGAAGAACCTTGTCTGAATACGCCTCCTTCTTCTCTTTTAATTCCATCCCCTCTCTATCTCTCGCTGAGGGAACTCCAGCTCTCTGTCTTCCCAGATCTCACCTCTTGTTCTCCTTTCACCCCCCCTCTCCCCTGCTTCCCCCTCAGGATGTCGTGTGAGGAGGCTCAGCTCCACAAAGAGAGGTTGCAGGCCTTGGCGGTAAGTCAAAATGTGTTCTAACTGTATGCTCCTATTCTGCTCCTCTCTTTATGTTTCTTTGCCTTTCTACCTGTTTTTTTGCTGTTTGTCTTCAAGTAACTTAGAAGATGAGAGCTCTCACCTCCACCCTGTCTCACCCTGACTTCATCTTTTCCTGTCATTCTCAGTACAGTATCCTTCCTACCTCCCTAACTGTCTGGCGCCTCAGAGTTAATGCAACTCTGAAAGTCTCTCT